ATATATATATATTATATTATTAGTCCGGACTTTGGGACGTCCAGACTTTAGTTTTGCGTGTATAATAGTCTAACTCATAGTGTAAAATAGTCAAACTGATTGCTTTTAGATGGAAAAGCTGCCCATAACTCCTGGACTAGTATCTGTTTTCTTCGTAATAATAGCATAACGAAATACATTTGTCAAACAATCCAGTGTATCTGCCCTTCTGTTTTGGAAAGCGTGAAATTATTTTATAAAGCATTTTTGCAGAGGGGAGCAAAGTAGCCAATTACAGACATGTTTGTTGATTTCTACAACGCAATGGCCAATCAGATGTGTTTAGGTTGGAATCCACGCACTCACCCCTTTTTGTCCGGTGCCGAGTTCTATCATGCTCGTAAACTTCATTAAAAAAAAAAAAAGTTTCATTGTGTGGTCACATTCATTGGTTAAAACGGAACTTTGTGAGATCGTGATGAATGAGTGACCATTTTTAATCAATTTAAAGGGAGCGCTCTTTCCATGCTGTACGCGATAATATATTCAGAATTTAAATAAAACGTGTGTTTTTCATGCTTGACAAGCGGCCACGTACAACACAGAGATAGCTAACTACTACACTATATAGAAAAAGATAATAGCCTAATTTCAGAAGTACAAAGTGATGTGATTCTGCAACTGAGCCTTGTCCAAAAGCAGGATTTAGGTAAGGAAACGGTTATTAATTATTTGTATTGGCTGCCATGCCAAATCATGAACCTGCTTGCTTTTATGTTTAATTTAAGTGTTTTTGTGAGTGTATATGCTTTAACAAATAATTTTAACATTTTACAATAAGGTTCCATTAATTAATGTTAGTTAATGTATTAAAGTGTATTAAAGTGTTAATTATTGTAAATTGTTACCCAAATAATGTATTTTGAGCATTCATTTGAAACTAATAGAAAAAATAGAAAGCTAGTGTTTTTTTTAAATAAAAAAGAAGATAAATAGATAAAGTAGAATTAAAATAGAATAGAAAGTGCTAGAGTTAGTGTCTCAAATAAAGATGGAACAGATGTGTTTTTAGTCATTTTTTGAAAATGGCTAAGGACTCAGCTGCTCGGACTGAGTTGGAACTACACAGAACCCCACTATTCGGACAAATATACATAATGAAAAGATGATACAAAATGTAATACCTTGGAAAATGGCATTTAAGATTTTTTCATCCTTTTTAAGGGCCTTCATTTTCTCTAAATTGATTTATCAACTTTTAATACTTTTTAAGACCCCGCGGATACCCTAATATATTTTGTATTTATACATATACACTAATTTCTAATAAATAGACATTATGACTGACTGTTGGGTATAACAGTGAAGTTAACCATGTAAAATACCACCATTAATGGAAATAAAATTAGTAAATGCATTTGAAAATGATATTATAAGGGCTTCTCATTTTGTCCTAATGGGGTGTGCAGTATTTTCAGAGCGCTCTGGGGCTCTTAAAACACGTCTTAATGGACGGCTCTCTTACATAACTGTCTCCAGCCGGCCATTTTAAGCTGCACATCAAAGGATGGGCGCCACTGTTAAATATACCGCCTTTATTCAATACCTCTGACATGAAAGGCTTACAAAATTTGCACCATGAAAACATTTTTACCCCCTCCATTTAATGCCTGTTTAATAAGGTCCTCCTTCATCAAAAGAGACTTAAGTAAATCCAACACCACCCCCTTCTGTCTCTCTCCCTAACACTTTGTTCAGCAGGGTTCAGGTTTGACACACATTTATACATGTCCTCAATGTCCAGACACCTTACTGGCTTAATGTAAGAGAACAACACCTCTAAGTATGTCATGTATATAACCCCATCAGCCATATTTAGGGCATGATATACAATAGAGTCTCTCTGTGCTTTGCACCTCATAAAGATCCAAACTTCTACCGATACCTGCTTTAAATATAGACAAACTCAACAATATATAATGGCTGATGTATGCAAAAAAACAAAAAAAACAAAACGTATGCAGTATATAAATGGTGGGAGGTTTGACTAGCTCTGACCTTCCTGTCCTCTGGAGTTCAGGTCCAGTGTGGTCTTCCTCTTCTTTGATCATCTCTGATAGTGGAGAAGAGCCATTAGGCATGGAAGGCATCTTCCTCTTCTCCTGCACACATAAAAAAAGACAACAACAACCCCGTTAACCCTGTCACTCATAGCTGGCTTCTCTCAGAGACTGAAACAGCAAACTTCTGGTTACACTTAATGTTTTTTGAACATTAAAGCATGTCAACATATTCTGTTACACCAAATACACAAAATAATGATCTTTAAAAAAAGCATCATATGACCCCTTTAAAGTTAATAAGTGCAGCGCTGCTTTGTTTACAGCAAGTGCTATATTAGTATATTATTATAGTGTTATATTTCAATTTCACAAAGAAATGTGCAGCATTTTGTCCAAGCAATAATAAAAGGACACATTTAATTTATAATTTGTCTTAAATCTCATTTTGTTAAAAAAAATAAATAAATCGTGAATCGAATCGAATTGAATCGTGAGTTGAGTGAATCGTTACATCCCTACTCTGAGGCGATGATTACCTGAGATGGGACGCTCTTTGGCGGCTCGATTCGTATCGTGGGGTCCCATTCTCCTGGAGGCAGCACTGTCACCTGGTCCAAGAACTCATCTATGCCAGACAGAAGGTCATTTCTGTCTTTGGCTTTGTATGCTACATCATGAAAGATCTGGCATTGTGTTAGAGAAAATGTGGAAATGTGATTATGAAGAACTAAATGGAACTGTTGCAACCTTAAAATGATGATTAGGAGTAAAGACAAGCCGAGTTTCCTTCCTATTGTAATATATTTTGAAATGTAATATATTCTTGTGATGGCAAAGCTGAAATCTTCAGCAGTGATTACTTCCAGTCTTTAGTATCACATGATCCTTCAGAAATCATTCTAATATGCTGATTTGGTGCTCAAGTAACATTTCCTACTATTATCAATGTTGACCGTTATCGGTGTAAACTAATCATTTTGAAGGATTCTTTGATGAAAGTTCAAAAGATCAGCTTTTATTTAAACTGAATTTTCTAACATTATAAATGGTATTGCTTTCACTATTGGTCAATTTAATGTATATTTGATAAATAATTGTAATAATTTCTTCCTCTGACCTCAAACTTTTGAACAAAATTGTACATCCTAAATGCTATAAAACGCTACTGAAGGCTTAAAAATATGGTTAAAGCATCTGGTTAGTTTATTTTGATCTCTATGGACCTTTTGTCAGGGTAGATGCCGTGAATGAAAACAAGGCTGTGAGGTACAAAAGTATGTTCAATATGCTGAAGTGTCATGTAACTTGTCGTCATTGATCAACTAACAAAAGAATGAAAATATATATTTTTTAAAAGACGCAAGACATCCAAGATGCAAGAAGCAAAGGCAGTATAACCGACTGAACCTGTACTTTATCTCTGACAGCACTGCTTTCATTCATATCAAATTACATGATTATTTACATTTATGCAAGCGACAGATGCTTTTTTCCCCCATTGCATTCAATGTATACATCTTTTTAGTTTATGCATTCTTTGGTACTTATTCAAATATATATATACAGTATATATTTATTCTCTTAATTTTCAAACAATCCATCATATATTTTCATATACATTTTAAATTTTATTCTGATTAATCTTTCAGCTCCAATAAAACCTCTCACCTTGAAAGTCCAAAAAGTGTTTAAAATTACACCAAGCATCATGCACAATAAAATTAATTTTAAATAAATTTTTAAAAAGGTAAAGCATACTTTCTTATTCCACAATTATTTAAAGGTCCCATGACATGCTGCTTTTTAGATGCTTATAGATAGGCCTAAGTGGTCCCTAGTACTGTATCTGAAGTCTCTTTCCCGAAATTCAGCCTTGGTGCAGAATTTCAGCCACTACGAGCCAGTCCTACAATAAGCTTTCCTTAGGATGTGCCATTTCTGTGTCTGTAGCTTTAATGCTAATGAGGAGGAGAGAGGCGGGGCAACTGCCGTGCTTCGCTCGTTTGCAAGCCATGATGTCTCGAGGAAAAAAAAAATATTGCGCTTGCCTCACACGGTAGTAGCTCATTTTCTCATAGGCGGGCCAAATTCTCTGGGCGGGCAAAGCAGAGAAAGGGGAGGTAACCTTTCCCCGTATGACGACATAAAGGGAAGATTCCAGATTGGGCCATCTGAGCTTTCATTTTCTCAAAGGCGAAGCAGGATACCCAGGGCTCGGTTTACACCTATCGCCATTTCTAGCCACTGGGGGACCATAGGCAGGCTAGGGGAACTCATATTAATGTTAAAAAACCTCATAAAGTGAAATTTTCATGCCATGGGACCTTTAACAAGCTGTCCTACTATGAAGCACTGGAATACAGAAATGATACTTGCGATGGCCAGCTTTTTTTTTTAAAATAATAGTTAAATGGCAAACGGTAGATGAACCTCAAACAAAGAAGGGTCCCTTGATCATTTGTCAATCATTTTAATCACATGGATCACTTTGATATGGTGTAATATAAAAACTTGAATGGTGTTTTTCTTCATTTTTGTAGCTTAACAGTCCCTGGTAACCGTTTACTTTATTTGTATGAAAAAACAGCATCCTTGTTCACATGTCTAAGATTTTTATTGTGTTCCGAGGCCAAGAAAGATAAATTAATGAGAAAATGATGACACAAATGTCCTTTTTGTGGACCTATTCCTTTAAGTGATAGCCATCAACAATATTTACAATAGGATATGATGTAGAGGGAGCTCACCCTGCTAAAGTCCACAGTGCTGTTTTCCCTGCTGCCAGGGAATACGTTCATACGGCTTTCACTGGGTTTACTGTTCTCCAGGTTCCCCGGGGCCGACTGGGGGGACGCAAGAAGGCCTGTTGGGATGAGAAAAGATGAAAGTGGTAGAGGAAGGCAGTGGTTAGATGGACGTTTGTGACTCAAAGCTTTGATATGCAGGGAAGGTTGTGCACTGCACACTCATTGTGTGGTCTGGAGTGTGGACATGCAGAGTAGGTCACATGCTCTCTGGATAACATCACACTACAGTGTGTACATTCATGGACGCTATGCTGCAAGGTTGAATTTTAAACATTTAGAAAGTGATATTCCCAGAGAATTTGTTGGATAGCCCTTTTTATGGAATGACAGGATGTGTTAATTTGAAGAGAGCATTAAGGTTAAACCATTAACTGAGGTATAACAAACTGTTTCTGGCTTCTGCGTGAGGATTTTAGCTTCACAGAGCACAGTGATCAAAAACCATTTCCCAATATCCTTAAAGAGGCACTGTAAAACTGTTTAGGCCTGAGATGACATTTCATGGAAACAAGCTCTCCTGCTATCTGAGCCTGCTTCTTGACGTCAAACAAACTTAAAAATAAAGGGAGCAAAAAGACCCTCCTTCTATGGTCTTCCCTGTAAACACACGGAACAGACAAATCAGTCATTGCAATTGTTTAATGTCAGCCACTAGAGCCTGGTCAGGTTTGCAAGCATGGAAGCTGCACGCCCTGCCAACGTGAACGCAGCAAAGTACAACATAGAGCGACCCTATGACATCACCCACTCCCATTTCAACAGGCTCAGTTTACACTTCTTGTATTCCAAGAGGCTGATGACATAAAGCATCACAAGCAGCTTTCTGCTCCTTAACATGACAATTTATTAGCACCTCTGAGGTACTACCACCATTCAGTGTGCTTTATTTGTGGTGATTTATTTTATTGACCTGGTTTCTGGTGTGCATGTGCCCCAATAGCTACAGCAGCAAGCTGTAGACCTTTAGCAAACCAAGACAGTAAAATTTTAAATCAAAATGAAGTACCCATAAGCTTGAACACTTTTAAAGCATAATTTGTGTGATCATGTATTTTGTATCTAATGCTAGAGATGCTCATTTAAATACTTTTTGAGGTCACTGTATAAATTGGCAGTGATTATGGCAACAGCTAAATAATAAACATTCTAAAAAAAAGCCCCTAGATCAGGGGTGGCGAACGTCGGTCCTGGAGAGCCGCAGCCCTGCAGAGTTTTGCTTCAACCCTAATCAAACACACCTGAACAAGCTAATCAAGGTCTGAAGGGTTACTAGGAAGCTACAGGCAGGTGAGTTTTAATTAGGGTTGGAGCTGAACTCTGCAGGGCTGCGGCTCTCCAGGACTGGAGTTCGCCACCCCTGCCCTAGATCATTACAAAATATCTAAAAGAACACACCAATATCTGAACCACAGTATGAGCACTGCAGATGCTACGTATGTTTTGGATGTTCTGTGTACATGTGTATTCTCAAGGAAGGATAAAACAGTGCCAAGTCGAAATGTCTCATATGGACAGTTAAGCTCTCATGGAAACATCTGATGGATTGGTCATGGCGAAACTCAAAAAAACAAAACAAAACAAAACAAAAAACAAGTGGGGACACCCTGTTCAGGGTGACAGAGGGCAGGGTGTGAAAGACAGGTTTGGGAAAGAGACAGGAGAGAATGTGACAGACAATGTTGGAGGTACTGCATTGAAACTAGCATGCATAACCAGATTGTTTAGGACGTGTTATTTTTCTATTTATTCAAATATTTTTTCATGTATAATTCCAGGTTTTTAAATTGTAAATATTTAAAAAAATAAAATGAAATAAAAAAAAATGTTTGGGGGTTAGAAAGATTTTGTAAAGTGTTTGAAAGAAGTCTCTTATGTTCACCAAGGCTGCACTTATTTGATTAAATGCAGTAAAAACAGTAATATTGTGAAATATTATTAGAATTTAAATTATTCCAGTATTCAGTGTCTCTGAAGATCCTTCAGAAATATTTTTTTAGGAAACTGTGATACTATTTTTTTAGGATTCTTTGATGAATAGAAAGTCCAAAAGAACAGCAAATTTTTTTGTAAAATTTAAAAAGTCTTTAATGTCACATTTGATCAACTTAATGCAGCCTTGTTGAATTCAAAGTATTAATTTCTTCAAAAAAATCGTACTGACTGCAAACGTTTGAACAGTAGTGTATGTGCCATCATCTAAAATAATGTACTCAAAATGCCCATCGCTAATTAGGACACGATGTAGAGCATTATGTCTATTTAAAAATAAATAAATAAATAATGTAATTAGTGACTGTTTCCTTGGCTCAAACACTCGTGACAAATATAAAGAGTGAGAGGCTGAGCAAATGTATCATGCAGGTGACACATCATGCTGATGGGCTGGATATTTGCCTGACTGCGGTAGGGGCAAGAGCTGTGCCAGCCTGGCCGGGTCATGCGCCACCTGCTCTTCCTGAGTGGTGGAAAACCATGACTGCATTTCCTCCTCCTCCTCCTCCTCCTCGGGTGGGAACACCACGACCTCTGGAATGTCCTCTCTCCATCCCCGTGCCACCAGCAGCTCGGGTCCCTGCTGAGAGGGTCCTGGGGAGCGGAGAGATGAAGCAGCGCGGTGGGCAGTGGGGGGCGTGTTTTGAGGGGTGACGGAAGGGGAGGCATTGGGGGAGGAATTGGCACTCGGCAGAAGCTGGTTGAGAATGATGGAGGAACGGGAACTGCGGGACTCTCTGGAGGGACAGCGCGATCTGGGGGGAGTGGAGGTGGAGGTGGAGGAGGCACGTCTTATGAGGGACAGACGGGAGGCTGAGAGACCCTCCCCTGATGAACCAGAGAAGGAGGTCAAAAAGGATGAGGGAAAAGTACGAAGAGAGGAAAAGAAAGTAAACAGACTGCACATGGAATAAAACAACATTGATGAATAAAATGAAAGCAAATATGTTGAGATGAGAGAGCTGGGAGTGTTAGAATGAAGTGAGGAGGTGAGATGGTGGCAAGAACGGACAGCGCAAATCAGTCACATGATTCAACACCCAAAGACATGATCATCACACACTGATCGTTAACATTTTAATTAATGTTGCTAGCTTGTTTTTGGTTGTAAACCATCACAAAACCCTCATTCAACTTTAAGAATCAGGGTTAGGCCTGTTTCACAGAGGTTTCTGAATGGAGCCTATTTTTGTAACACAACAACCTCTGAACCAAGCAGAAAACATGTTGAAAATGCTCAGTAAACATGTTTAATCAACACATTCTTTTTCTATACACATTTTTCTATGAAGCAAAATACAAGTGCGATATACAGAAAAATGTTTTGCTTGGTTTGAAGAAAGTTACACATGCAGTGACCTAAACATGCAGCACTTTCTGTTCATCTGTAAATCTGTCTGAATCCAGATGATTCGAGCAGTTTAAAGATAGATTTTGAGGTCTGAGAGTTCCAATCAACAGATTAATCAGTTAAAAAATTGGGGTCATTATTTTAAAGGGGTCATGAACTGGCTTTTTGTATTATTTTATACTGTTGTCTGTGGTCCACTTATGACTTTTGCATGGTTTTTACATTCAAAAACATCAAAATCAATAAGTAATAATAGACTATTTTCTACCCTGGTTTTGAGGCCGGCTCATGTGCCGGTTTTTATGGGCGTGCCGTATTGAAGACTTGGAAGTAAACGCCCACTGCTATGATTGGATAATAGTTTTGCATAGTAAACAAACTTTCTGTGTGTCTGTTTAACAAGCTGCGTCCTTCATAGTTGGAGCCTTCTGTGACTTTGGTTCGACATGTACACATAATCAGGACATATCAAGCGATCTCAAACAAAGCAATAGTGACAGTACAAATATTTTTTACTCACATAAGTGTGCTGCGCCATTCCTGCCGGATCCAACATAGACTGCACAACATTGCTTTTTAATCTCAGTCTCTCTGCAAATCCAGTGTCGACCAGTGTCAACGCTCAATGTTTTACTCATGTGAGCTGAAACTTCATAAAAAAGTTCAACTACGCATTCCTAATATTTGAATCCGAAAGAAGATTATGCAGCGACTGAGTTCTTCCACAACGAGGCACTGCACAATATTTTGCGATCTTCAACGTCATGTTTATTGCTTGGTTGCTTAGTTCCCTATTATGTCATGCACGAATCAGTGGGCGGGGCTACAGAATTAGGCGTTGATGTTCTTCTGTGGAGGTGGTGTTTAACCTATCTATTACATCATAGGTAGGCACATTCCAGGATCTGGCGTTCGCTGGGCCTGGTGTCAATAAAAGCTTTTATTTCAGTAACAAGGACGTATTCAGTTCTGAAACTTACAGGATATTCTTTTAGTATGATGATCTCTTATATATCAAAAGCTCAAGTAAAAGTTGATTTCTCATTTCTTGACCCCTTTAAAGAATTGAAAATTAGCAAGGATGTATTCATTTATTTATGTTACAAATGATTTATATTTCAAATAAATGTAGTTCTTTTGAATAATCTTTCTATTCATCAAAACATTCTTAAAACCTAATCTTACTTCACAATATTACTGTTTTCTTTTTTCTTTTCTTTTACATTCATTACTGATGGGAAAAGACACAAACGTTTCGGCTCAAAGCCTTCCTCAGTGTGTAAAGCAATTCAATCCCTCCACCCACTTTTCAAATCACTAATTATATTGACGTCATCATTCATTAGCCAGTGTTCAATTACGACAATCATTAAATCATTTCCACTTAAACCCTGGACAATTTACATATATATATATATATATATCCAACACAAAACGTCACATCCAATAGTACACCACACAATCTACTCGTGACTAAAACAATAGTTATTTAGGATCACATATTTATCACTATTATACAAACTTATAGTCAGTGTTGGGGAAAGTTACTGAAACGTGAAAAGAAAAGAATAGCCATGTTAAGCAATGGTATGACTGAATCACTCTGTGTTCGAATTAGAAGAACATTAAACTGAGGAGTGGTAAAAAAATATTTCTTATAACATGAAGAATCAATTAATGCATCTTTGGAAAGAAAATTGAAGAGAACTGCCAAATCTGATATTGTTGAGTTTGCTTATCAGTGTTGGGGAAAGTTACTTTTAAAAGTAATGCATTGCAATATTGCGTTACTCCATTAAAAAAGTAACTAATTACGTTACTTAGTTACTTTTTATGGAAAGTAATGCGTTATGTTACTTTTGCGTTACTTTTTAAATCTGGACAGGGCTTGCTTGTTTGATTTTAAAATAAAAAAGTTATATTTTTGGCAAATATAAAAGCCTTTTCACACCAGAAGTGAAATGAATAAGCCTCAGACTGAAGGGAAAGTACATTTACATCTGTACAGTAGAACGCAGAAGAAGACATTTCAACACACTTCAGCAATAAAAAAAGACACACAAATGTTTAACTTGTGCTTATTAGTACGGTTGAACTGGATCATCAAAGGTCAGCAGCAAAGACATTGATTAATAAAATGGGATTAGATACATTTGTGTTATTTAACATATTTAATTATTGCAGGTTTGCATCATATTCTGAGTTTGCATTTCACTGTTTTAATTCATTTTGATGAATACTAAATCTGTTTTTTGTGAGTGGGATGAATTAATGCACGTTCACATTTAGTCTAGAACTACAGTAACATGTTCACACAACACCTCTCCTCCGATTTCTCCCAACATGGGGACAGGAGAGCTGTCAGTCAATAAAATGGGAAAACAAAGTAACTTGCGTTACTTATTTGAAAAGGTAACTCAGATATTCTCTTGTAAATTAAAAAGTAATGCGTTACTTTACTAGTTACTTGAAAAAAGTAATCTGATTACGTAACTCACGTTACTTGTAATGCGTTACCCCCGACACTGCTTATAGTTTATCCTATCAATCATCAATATCTACTCCACCAATTAACTTTAAATTGTATAACAATGGAAAATTCAATAATTAAGAACATCAGAAATACATCGTCATAAACAATCATTGTTTTTCACACTGTAAATACTCAATTTATTGTATAGAATATTACAAATGAATACGACCAACCATAGTTCATTAAAGAAAGACAGAAAGATCTAATTCCTTATTCATGCCATTTGGGTTCAGTGATTTAAGTCCGTGAATCCAAAATGCTTCTCGTTTCAATAGTTCTTTATTTATATTACCTCCTCTACATGACCCAAAAACTTCCTCTATTCCTATACATTCCAATTGCTTGATGTCATGTCACAATTCGTTAAAATGTCTTGCTACTGGAGAGGTTATGTCTTGTCGTCGTATACTAGATTTATGTTCATTAATTCGTAATTTCAACTGACGCAAAGATTTTCCTATATATATCTTTTGACAGGGACATTGTGTCTTTTCCCATCAGTAATGAATGTAAAATAAAAGAAAAAAGAAGATTGTTCTCGTGAGTGCGGATCATAATTTCCTATACTAAGTAACAGATTGACGCAGCAAAATAAAAAGATCAAGTAACGCAAGAGCGCAGTGCAAACGACGTTGTTAAACAATATTACTGTTTCACTCTATTTTTGAGCAAATAAATGCAGACTTGGTGGAGCAAAAGAGACTTCGTTCAAAAACTGTTCTGTTATGCAGCAGGTTCACGCTATGCTTATGCGTATGGTGTGAAACAGGCTTTATGCACGCAATATCAACACCATTTAGCTCTTCCTTGAGGACAGAAAATGCAACCAACACAGCACACAGAGATGGATTGAAATCAGTCAATGAAGCATCGTCAAATGTTGCTTTTAGCGCTGAAAGGAACGGAGCATCTATTCACATATACTCCCTGCCGGAGGTCTTTAATAACTGCTGGCCACAGAATCAAGGACCTTATGCACCCTTACTTTCCTTCATTTCTTGTTTTTGAGTGGGAACAAAGGATCAATAAGTGGTGGATTTAATGGAATGTTATTCAAAAGTGATCTTTTGAGTAAATATTAGAAAGAAAAAGTCAAGCACAGCAAAAGCTCTCACCATTCCTCTCAAGCAAGTGCGGGTCTGAATGTTTCTTGCCTATGTCGGCGAAGGAGCGTACAAGCGGGATGCGATTGCTGAGTTTCTTCTCATTCTGGTGGTGATGTCTCTTCAGCATGGCATTCCGCACATTCTCCCTCAAACTCTCATCCAGCTGCTCAGAAGCAACCATGTTGTCTATTACCATGTCTGGGAACAGGTAGAGACATTCATTTTTCAGACGTTCATTTTGTTCATGCTGAGACATAAGGGTTTATCTAACGGCCAAACATTACCTGCTATCTCCTCAATGGTGTTTGCTCTCATGTCCAGCATGACTGTGCCACTGAGAATGCAGCTCCGTAACTCAAACAGGCTGTGCAGGGAAAGTGTGGCGACGTAGGGCTTACTCCAGCGCTCTCCTCCATCCTCTACATCCTCCTCAAACTTCAACCACCTGCACCAAATAGGATTTGAGGTTGACCAAGTATTAAAACAAGTATTCGGACACGTTCTGGTGGTCAAACATTCAGGTTTTCCATAGTTTATATGATGAACTACACCTTGAGAGGAAATCACACAGGGAAACATCACACATAAAATTCATGAAAACCAGCTGGTTTAGTTAAGTAATTATGGCTACAAAAAGTGTTTTTATACAATGTCTAGCATTATGTCGTCAGCAGATGCCACATGGTTTGATATTTTGTTATCAAATGCAATAACATTCAGACATTTAACAATGTGTCCAATTACTTTTCGGGGCCAATGTATACCAATATGTTTTTAGGACAAAAGCGGAAGTCCATGTCTAGAAAACAGGGTGGCCACTGGTTAATGTAATAGGACATCTAAAATATAATATAACATTTAAAATGTTAGTAAATTAGACAAACACTAAATTTCTGAATTTAAATGCGTTTTACATCACATTCATACTCAATCAAAAAATACCAAATAACAAAAATACACATTATCCACTGACAACATTTTGGAACTGGTACACTTTTGTTCTGTTAATCAGTCAATGCAAATAATGTCAAAATGGCCCTTTATTATGGAGTGATTTCATGCACTAAATTAATTAAATAAATATAAAACTGAAATGATTAAATCCACCATGGAATGTTAATAAATAGAAGTACAATTAAATTTAAGAACAATTGACAGTTTATTTTGTTATGTAACATTAAAAAAGTACGTGACTTGAAATATGCCTTCAAATGAGAAAACTCATGTAATGCGAAATGAAAAAAAAAAATGGGGAAAAAATAAAGCAGACAACATAAAACAAATCAATATTATCACAAAATAACTAAATACATAATTAAATATTTAAAATCAATAAATTTAAGCCTAATGAAAGTGTATTTCACACCTTATCTATACATGCTTACATTGTACTTTTATTTATTGCAACATTCCATGACGTATTTAATAACATTCTATATTTTTTTAATTAATTCAGTGTCGATGTTAAATCACTCCATCTTTGTCAGCTAAGTAATCATTTGTGGCATTTATAAGTGGGAGAACTTGCACAATTGGTGGCTGACTAAATACTTTTTTGCCCCACTGTATATAGTATAGCGTACACACAAAAACACCCACTACACACATGAACATTCTCAGGCTTCATGTTGTTTCCTCACCTGGCCGTCTCCTTCCACTCATAAGCCTGTCCATCGTGGAAGGACAGCTCATCGAGCTCAGTGAAGAGGTCATGTGGAATATGCTCCTCATCATCATCCTCAGTGCCGAGGATAAACTGGACCCTCTGTGAGGGAGTGTCTGCAGCCATGAGAGAGAAAAACAAAGCCAATGAGTCAAGATACTTAAAGCAAAATAAAACAGGAAATTATTACCATTTATTTAAGAAAATTAGTCACATACAGACATTTTAGACAGTTATTCTTACCGTACACTGGCGATTCTCTCCCATCCTCTCGCTCGGACCCTCTATCCTTCCTTTTCCGATGGTGCTTGTGACCACGGTGGCGATGTCTACGCCTGCTTTGTCTTCCTAAAGGAACATGTACGCCCACGTAAACTGCCCTGTGACCTATAAAGAGAAAGGTTTTATTACTCGGTCCTGTACTGCATGTAAGAGGAAGACCTTTTGAAATGCATTATAGACAAGAAAAGGAAGAGATCAAATACAACATACAAACAGTGTTCCAGACACACAAGATGAATTATTAATTGTCTGAACTGTCTATCTCAGGACTAAGCATTTCCTGAGCCACATTTCAATGCACAAAAAGAAAAATTATGTTGACATGAACTGAAAAATAAAATGCGCCATCCACTAATACTAAGAACATGTTTAAAATCTTATTGGTGTGTGTAAAGGCATACTATTTTGTCTAAATAACTTGGAAATAAAACACTAAATGAGTGCTACTCAACATTGGTATAATGGGTAGTAATTGTTAAGGAAATATACAATATTGAAGAACCAACATGGTACCGACATATCTGCCCAGAACACTCTAGCATCATGGAAGCAGATTTTACAGGGTTTTACAAAACTCCTAGAGCAAAAAGTGACACAAGTTCTCTTATGTTCCAGTACTAATATTCCAAACTTCTGCTGAACAACCCTCTTAAACGCCACAAAAAACAATCTGACACGGTGAACAAACTGTACAAGAAATCCGGCTTGCTTTCAACAAACACATATGTTTATATATATGCCTAAATAACATCTTAACTCTCTCTGGCGTGCTTTTAGGAAAGCTTAAAAGTTCAATCTGCCACCCATGCTTGAGTTATTGTGTTGAAGGTAGACTTCTGGGAAGCAAAAGCTGCATGCGTCACAAGAATGATGTGAACCAGGAAAGAAAATACCAAGCAATTTAAAGCTAACTTCATTCAGCCGGCTTGTAGTGTGAGGGTGGGACGTGTGCGAACGCATGTGTGGTCTGTAAACGCCTGCTGTGTCTACACCAATTTCACACGCTTGTCTGCGTAGAGAATGCAAGGGAGGCTGAGAGCCAAGGACACACTTTTTTCAGACACACAGAGGAGATGAAATTGCATCACAAAAACAGCAAAGAACTTATCTCGTGCTTCAATCTTTAAGCAGTGCAGATACAAAGTAACACATTGTGAGCAATAAGGAATGGGGGGGTGGAGGTGAGTCGACCAATACTAAAGCTTCCTCCCATATTATCTCAACACTCCCCTAAACACCAGCTACAAAACAACAGCCCTATGCAGAGCTGCATGTCTGTGAAACCCATCCTGGTCCTTACTAATTACAACTATCAGCCAAGGCACAGGAAAAACAAGAAAATTATAAAGATATCAAAGCGCATAAAGCTGTGGAGTTAAAACTGGCACTAAAATGACATGACTAAGTTATTTATGTCTGTTACGATAAGATCATTATTCATGTCTAACAGAAAGGCATGAACAAAGATAACAAAAGAATCCTAACTGAGTTCTAGAACTTTCAGCAATATTTAAAAAAAGAAAAAGGAAAAGTCTGTCTTCATTTTCTCACAAAGGTAGATTTTAGGCAGAATGCTCATGCTGGTCCATCCATACAATGAAATTAAATGGGTAATTTAAATCTGTCACGCTCCAAAAAAGTAAATGAAAGTAGTCCATTCCAGGGTTTCCCATACGTTGACTTATTTGTGGCGGCCCGCCACAATATCAACACTGAACGCCACAAATAGATTTTCCAAAATGCTTTGACTTCGTTGAATAAACATGAGCACTGCACATTTCAAAATCAAAACGTGGCACGGGTGTTTTAATATAAATTTATCTTTTTTTGAAGGGAACCGATTGTCTTCAGAAAAGTTTTGATATCATTTTCACTTAATCTTTCCTATAATGCCTGATAAAGTAGCATTCATGAGCGCAGCTCTGTTTTGATTACAGCCGTTACCGGGGAAGCCGCTGTTTCTGCCGCTCTTAAAGTGAGTAAAGAGTGAATTTGCACTTTCAATAAGCCCGTCTGCTGTTTTATATTTACATTATATACATATATATTTCCCCCAGGGGAAGTGCCGCCACACATAGAGTGCAAGTCTGTGGGAAACATTGTGCTATATTCAAAGTGTTCTGAAGCTGCATGATAGCTTTGTGTGAGGAACAGACCAAAATTTTAAATCATTCACAAAAAATACTGCTTTGAAAATCTGCCTGTCTGTCTGTTTCTGCTGATTGTTGTCCAGTGAAACAATGTTTATATTAAAAGACAATGAAAACAAATATAGTGAAAGTGACCAAGTAGGCTATGGGCTACTAAGTGCAAAAAAAGGGGCTAAAGTCACATTACACTGTAACATTACAATCTAAAAACAATGCTTTTTAAAGCAGAAGTTAAATTCACTAAACTGAAAATGAAAAGAAATAAAAACAAAAGCACAGATTAATTTAATTAGATTTTGATTACCCCATTACAGTAGTCAATTTACAGTTACTGCTGTCATAAAATACTTGTAGGTTTAAAATTCTACATATGGCACATCTATTGTTCAGCTACAAATATTTTAGCAATATATATATATTCTTCATAATTATTGTGCTCATATTCTGTGGCGCTCGCTCCCTGAAGTCTGTGTTTAGCAGAAAGTCACATGCAGAAGGCTCATGCTCTCCTGACAGCAAAATAGAAATATTTCTATGACTCTCTAACACTTAAAGATGGAGAATATACCTGTGAAATGCAAGTTATGCACTGAGAAAACAGCACATCTCAAACACATTAAACAAGTAGCACAAGTAGCGTCTCTGTCAGCAGCACATGTATCTATCAGAGCATCTCGCTGGGCAAGCCACTTTAAACTATGTTAACTATATTTTACGAGTTATTTAAAAGCCCTAAATATAAGCATGTCTCATATTTAGGATAAACTGGATTATGCACTTTCCCCGCCGCAGCTCACACTATGTCCTCCGCTATTTTTGCAGATGTGCTCGTATCCAACTACTGTATATCGATATAGGTGGTATTGCCTCATACCATATCGTTTATAAAAAATATATCGATATATCGTACTGTACAAACTCGATATACCGCCCAGCCCTAGTATTTTTTTTCCATACTATGGAAGTCAATGGCTACCATCAATATTTTGTTTACCAACTTGATGGAGTAAATGATGGCAGAATTTTCATTTTTGGGTGAACTATCCATTTAAACATCAGGCTCAAAAGTAAGTCAGTCATGAAATGATATGATATAAGATTGAGGAAATTACAGATTTTTCATTTTTAAGGTGAACTATCCCTTTAAAGATTCCACTGAATATATATTCCAGTAAATGCAACTGATTCTATTTGAGAAATATGCTTCATTATTATACTGAATAGGGCATAGGGCTTCCTGTGACTTCCCTTAAAATGATGTCAGTTGTCAAAGAGAAAGTGAAAGAGGACAAACAAGAATGTTTAGCAAGATAGTGTTTTACATCAGGAATTGAGCATGCAGTTAATGCTGGTGGTACCAAATGCATGACCTGAGCAGGCACAGTTTAATTAATTAGATCTTGAGCTTTTGTCTAATCCATCTTAATGCTATTAAAGCAAGCGGGAGGCCAGAGCAGCGGCACGAACTGTACATGCTACTTTTGACAGGTTTCCTCTTTAATACATTACAATCCTATCAGAATTATATTAAACTTGTATGGCGCGGTTCCTGAAGCTTAAATCAGTGCTTAAACAAGATGTTGTGAAACAGAATTAACTTTCTAATGGACCTTAGTCTGAGTAGATGCCATTTTTCTCCAGGCAAGAACACAAATGAAAATAAGGCTGTGAGGGACAGAAGAACAAGTAATTCTAATTAGTTTTGAGTACCTTAGTGTCAATTCAAAGATTTCTATTTCAACTTTTCATTCATCTTGAAAAAGATATTTGGGGGAAAAAATGTATCATTGTTTACACAAAAATATTAAGCAGGACAACGGTTTCAACACTGATGATAATAAAAAAATTTGAGCAGCAAATCAGCATATTAGAATGATTTCTGAAGAATCATATGACTGGTGTAATGGCTGCTGAAATTTCAGCTTTGCCATCACAGGAATAAATTCCATTTAAATTAGAAACGGAAATTTAAAAAATTTAAAAAGTTATTTTAAATAATAAAAAAAATTAATAAATAAATATATATTATGTTACCCTTTTTACTGCATCTTTAATTAAATAAGCCCAGCCTTGGTGACCATAAGTGACTTCTTTCAAAACCATTAATAAAATCTTACCACCCAAACTTTTGTATGGTAGTGTAAGTGAATATATAAATATATAATACCTTAAAATGTATTTAATACCTAAAAATATAAATATTACATTTGTATAATATTAAACATTAAATACATTACATAAGTAATATATATTTTTATCAGCATTACAAATATTAAATATTTAGGTTTTAACTTTTTAATGATTTTTTATCATGAATAGGAGTTTGTCTGATGCAAGTAATTGTCCAATTTGAATTATTTACATATATATCAGTACATATCGGTCAACCACTACTCACAGCTTTGTTTCCATTCATGCCAAAATAAAGATGCCATTTACTTTGGCTAAAGTCTGTGCAACTCTCATGCTAGCAAGGGAATCACTTCACAGACTATGAATGCCATAATTGTAAGATGTAGGTCAGATGTCCCCTCACACTAGGCACAAGTCACTTTAAGAATGAGTTCTTGTGAGTTCGAGACATTTCTTGTCTTACTCTTCTGGCAAAGCACTGTTACCAAACACCTAGTGCCTCCTTTCCAACACGCACAAGCTTCCAGAACACATGCAGAAGGAAACATACCACTGACCCATGGGAGAGCCCTCAGAGAGGAAGGGGGGCAGTTTAAGGTCAAAAACCTCAATGAACTCAGCCAGAGAGTGAAATGAGCTTGAGGCGGAGGGATGGTTTTAATCATTGTGCTTTAAAACACACCCAAAGTAATGAATGAAAACAACAGCAGACATTTACTGTACACCTCCATGTGCCAAAAGACCAGATGGTATGCTTGAGGATAAAACGGCACACACACAAAAAAACCTGGCATATGATTATGAGGGGTAAATAAAAGTCGGGGTTATGTGAACGAAGGAAGTGGCTTACTTTCAAGTTCCTCTTTTTCAAATTTTGTGTGGATGGTAGAGCTGGTTTTCCCCTGATCAACAACAGCTTCCTCATCATTGCCCTGAATAGAGAGAGATAAAGAAGGATAAATTTATGTCACACCAGAGTAAACAAACAATCCATGGCAACACAAGAGGGTGCCATTCCAGTTACTGCTTCGTCTGGCTATAACTGAGAATTGTGCAAGAGTTTATTCCATAAGTGTGCTTCAGACTTTTGTTTTTGACAATGCACTCCTTGGCACAAAACTGAAGTAAACAGGTCACAGAATAAACAACTAGAGTTAATTTTGTGTCAAATGAACCAAAACTCGAACAACACTACTACCCTCAGCCAACATGAACATAGTAGCTCAGAACCAAAATACAAACTGCATATCCACAAAAATATAAAGATAAATAGTGATTCTTGCTCAGGCAATGATAACCCTTAATATTGCTCATACTAAGAGTTAGGGATCGGAACAAACCTCTAACCTAAAATATTAAACTTTGCATGAACTATAACTCAACCTGTAACTGTAGCCAATGAAATAACTTTAGCTCAACCATTAGACAGCCCATTACAACAATGAATACGTTTACATGGACAACAATAATCTGATATTAACACGATTAAGACAATACTCTGATTAAGAATCTACCATGTAAACAGAGATTTTTGATTACCTTAATCTGGCTAAAGTCACACTCGAAGTAAACACAAATCAAATTATGAAATGTGGAGTAGAGGTCGACCGATTCATCTGTTTTGCCGATTAATCGGCACCGATAGTTGATTGGCAGAACTATCGGTTATCGGCAAAAATCAATGCAGATAGTTTTCCGGGTTACGTTCGTTGCTGGAGTGGCTGAGAAGGGTCCACTGCCATTATACAGTACGAGAGCGGCCTCTAGAGGCGGAAATCACTAACAGCACGTGTTGTTTGTTTTGACACGTGACACTGCGCATTGCACAGAGTGGGAAACTTCAAACATGCATTTAAATGCAGCCGACAGAAAATCCTGCCGCGGAACAGAGCGCCATTCACATAGTTTTCCATTAAATTACATTATATTTGTCCCAAATCATTGTTAATGTACGTAATGACTTCACCCTAGGCTATAAATTATGTATTGTGCTCTTTCTGTGGCTCTAATACAGTCTTTATGCTTCATAAGAGAGCTGAAATACAGATCGCACTTTCTCTATCCCTTTGCTCTGTTTTTTTAAACACTGAACTTCAAACTCATTTATGCCACATTGTTCATTCTTGAAGCAAACTTATGTCCGTTTGGTGATTAAATAAATAGTTTTAGACCGCTGCTTGAATTGAAAGTGACGTGTCTGGTGTGTGACTTCTCCGAGAACGCGTCGCTGCGCTTTTGTCAAATGTGTGACTTGCATTTTTTTTTTTTGATTAGATAATCATGCAGTGTTCTAAAATAGAAGCAAATAAAGTGTGAGAGTACACATACAATATCAATAACATATGTATGTAATTTTAATGCTATGGCCTTGTGTAGATATTTAAAGATGGCCATCTTTAAGCATGACTGTTGAAATTAAATGGTAATACTTTACAGTAAGAGTCCTTTTGTAATATTATTGAAAGCTGTAAAAGTATTGTTCCTAGTGTGTTCATTTCAACATTTACTATTACTAATAGGCTATATTTTTACATTTTAAAGTTTCTTTTTTTAACATTAGTAAACTATGAAATAACTTTAATGATCAATATAATAATTAATATTAATATGTTTATTCATTTACAAAATATGGTTCAGTACTGCTACTGCTTTTTAAAAAATAGTAAAGCGCTGTTTTAGTTTTCGTTTACCATTTTAAAAACTATCGGTTGATTAATCGGTATCGGCCAGTGTGGTCCAACCTAGCTATCAGTATCAGTAAAATCCACTATCGGTCGACCTCTAATGTGGAGTATTCCTATTTTAGTCGCATATTGAAGTGCAGTATAGACATGTACACACCATAATCACACTATTACCGTTGTGTAGGACTTTGCGCCGCATTTTGCGACTGGATACACACACAACAGTGGTCAACCATTTAACAGCAAACAAAAGAGCATGGCTTCAAGCAAGGCGGCACATTTTTATCTGTCGTCGTCTGTTTGCACGTATAGCATGACTAGGGATGCAACGATTATAGATTTTGTTGGTACGATTATTGTCTGAGGAATAATCACGGTTTCACGATTATGACGATTATTATGCATTTATTAATTTCACAAAATTATTAATGTATAAAATCGCATGGAAACTCTTTAGATAATAAAGTGTTATTTATTGCTGCCTTTAGAAAGAGAAATAACACAGTAACCAATAATACAGCACAAAATAATAATAATAAATACAAACAAAAATCCATCTCTCCAATTGGAATTAAAAAGGTGACTGCTCTGTAAACATCCATGTCAGTATTTCCATTTTGAAAATAACTAATGAAAATAGATCACAAAAGTATTGTGTTTTCAGTTTGTACATTCTTTACATTAATTTTGGACCTGAGGCAGAAAACTGGAAACATGGTAAAAAAAAAATCTTGTTGGTTTTTGACTTATGCATAATACTATAAAAGGGATTATAGATAACAATGTTAATAAGTATTATTAATGTAGGACAATTAACTTTATTTACCATGCAGGGGAAACTATTAATAATGAGGGCAATAAACTGAACTATCATTGTAATCAACTGTCATCCATACGTATTCATTTTAATAATTTTTATAATAATTCATATGATTTTACATCATGAGAAAATCATGTCTATTATTTTGGTTTGTGAGATCGGAGATTGCGCTGCGCACACATACAAACATTCACGAGGACACAAACTTAAGCGCTGCCGCGTGTATGCACGCCAAACAGACGGAGCGCAATAGAATAGGGGTGCAATAATTGTTTCATATGTAGAATTTTAAACCTACAATAAGTGTATTTATTGATAGCAGATGTCTGTACTGGGGTAATCAAAAATAAAATGCAATTAATCTGTGCTCGTTTATTTACTTTCATTTTTAGTTTAGTGAATTAAACTTCTGCCTTAAAAAGCTTTATTTTTGTTTTTAGATTGTAATGTTACAATGTTAGAATGTAACGTGATTTTAGCCCCTTTTTTTGCACATAATGGATAGCATAGCCTACTTTCACTATATTTGTTTTCATTGCCTTTAATATAAATATTGTTTTATTGGACAAATTTTGGCAGGATGTTAAAGAAATATATATAAAATGTAGAGAATACCAAGATATATACCGTATATCGCATATCAGCCAAAAAATAATCAAGATTTTTTTTGGCCATATCGCCCAGCCCTACTGAACCATCAATTCACCTCTATTCTGAGAGCTTAATATTCAGTAATATTGATTTGACTGTACTGTGGACACTGTGGATGTTTACACAGTGGAACAGTGGTACTTTACATAGTTATTGAATTGAACTGAACCAACATTGAACTGAGTGGAGCTGAATAATGGCACTATTGTCTTTTTAGAGTTGCTTTGTAGCATAATTGGGATTTGCCTTATTGATGAAGTTCGCATAGCTGATTCTGTTACTTTCCTGTTTAACACTGTGAAGCTGCTTTGAAATCTCTGCTGTATAAAGCATTATATAAATAAAGGTGACATGAAATCTATATGTGACCCTGGACCACAAAACCAGTCTTAAGTCGCTTGGGTATATTTTTTAGCAATAGCCAAAAAAACATTGTATGGGTCAAAATTATACAATTTTCTTTTATGCCAAAAATCATTAGGATATTAAGTAAAGATCATGTTCCATGAATAGGGTTCGGTATCGAGAACCAGTTCCATTTTAGAACCGGTTCCAAATTTCCAATAATCGGGTATTCGATAAGACGTGCATTTCGATTCCTCTTAATGATTCCCGCGTTCGCATTTTAATGTGATTTTAAACTATTTAGGAAGGGAAAGAACTTGCACACTGTTTGCGTGCAGCGCACACATCTGAAGGGCGAGCACAGAGAACAGTGGTCCCGATGCAGGTTCCTGACCTGTGTCCGTTCTCGAACTGTTCTGTGCATTTCCACAAAGGTTGTTCCGGGCCAGAACTGACTTCTCTTTCACATTTATCGACCAGTATGCACGAAATATGTTGGTATATCATCATAAACACAGCCGTTTTTTGTCTTAAGTGAACATGAACAGATTTTATTTTTAGATCTGTGTGTGTTCGGTGTTAAAGAGACAGCCATCTAATAAACGTGCTGCCTATCATTAATGTTAATCAAAGAACAAAAGAAAATCATTAACTGACTGAATATCTTTTGTAAATTTAATGAGGATTAATCAATATTTTATTAATGAAAAGAAAACTATACAGTGTTTTTAAACTTTTGATTTCAATTTCTGTACCTGACATTTGTTCAGTTTTATTTATTTATGCTATTGCTAATTAATTTGTTTACTTGTCTTTAACAATTGAACGTTTCAAATTTATATTAGTCTAGTTGTTTTTTTCTGTGGTATTTTTTTGATAAAACCATAGACATAAAACAGAATAAATATGCATCTAAATATTTGACTTAAAATTTGTTTCATTTTTATTTTAATCTTATTGGAATCGGAATTAGGAATCGATAAGAATCAGAATCGATAAGCAGAATCAGAACCGGAATCGATTAAATTCAAACGATACCCAACCCTATCCATGAAGATATTTTGTAAATTTCCTACCGTAAATATATCAAAACTTAATTTTTGATTAGTAATATGCATTGTTAAGAACTTAATTTGGACAACTTTAAAGGTAAGAGTAATACGTCATTCCAAACTGTAAAGGGTCTACTTTTATTTGTGTCCACTCACAATATCAACCAAACGTTGTGCTTTTATAAAATAAAGGAAAAAAATGCTTTCTGCCGTCTCTGGCTTGAACAGGAGCGCTTCACAATGATGAACCTAAACGCCGTGAATTTCCGCAGACATGATAAAAATATATAGAAAGCTTTAAATTACTACTTTAAAACGAAATCATTCAAATCGAAAATAGAAACTCTTTCATTATGTAATCCGTGCATTTCTCTCTAAAGGCACATCCAATGAGGAGATGGCGAGTAATTTTTTTTTCATCACCATAAGTGATGGATGTCTAAAATATTAAAAATAAGGAAAAGCCTAAAACAGGCCCGATTATAATTTGCGTTTTATTTTATAATTCGGTACAATTTAAAAACAGCTTAAATATATATATATATTATATATATATATATATATATATATATACACATATATACACATTTTACGGGTAGCTTGAAATGTAAAACATTGTTATGTATTCCCATTTGTAAAATAGCCAACAAATTAACTGCTGTAGGCTAACCCGATCTCATGACGTTAAAGATGCGCTCCTGGAGGAGATGCTGGCAATGCCCTCCTGTTCCCTTATGTTGCACTTTGAAAAACCCAAATCAGATTCAAACACTTTTATGTTCCACTTCAAAAAAAATTGTTATAAATGTAGCCTTATTAAGTTAAATAATAATAATGACAATTTGCTGTTAAATGATTAAAAACTGTTCCATAATTCCTATTAAACTCAAAAGATATCGAAAAAACAAAGTTGAAATAAATGTAATTTTTTTATTATTGTTAATATAATTTGTTGTTTTAATAATAAGGAAGACTGCTTTATTATTATTCATTTCCATGTTCATTTACAGGCTGCATGCGTTCTTAAATCATAATATTTCCACGGCGGGGGGGGATTGCGATTAACCGGCAAAACACGGTGATTTGTTGCGTCTTCACCGCGGTAAGAAAAATCCCATACCGTCACAGTCCTAGGTCTAACATAGTTTTACAGAAATTGAATAAATCAAATGTAAAATAACATTGCATATTTGACTGTATAAATTAGATTAATCCTTATTAAAGTTACAAAAGTTATTCAATCAAGAGCAGTGAGAGATGTCCGTGTTGTTGCTGTTTGATTAACATTAAGAAAGTGCTGTCACTTTAAGAGAACGCACTGATCCAGTGCTCTGATACTGTATGTTCAGCCGGCTATGTCTGCTAGGATACTGACATAATTTTTGTGTGAATTTGTCCATTCAAACACAATACTTCACAGAGAGCTTAATATTTGCACGCGTTGTGAGACGCGGGTTCACACACTTTGGATGAGCGACCACACAGATCTTCTCACTGCGCGCACGAGTTCACGTCTTCTGGCACTTTCATATTTAAACTGGCAAGGCTTAAATGAGTTTAGTTTAAAGGGGTGGTTGATTGCGATTTCACTTTTTTAAATGTTAGTTAGTGTGTAATGTTGCTGTTTGATCATAAACAATATCTGCAAAGTAACGAAGCTGAAAGTTCAATGCAAACAGAGATATCATCTTTTAAAATTCTGGCAGTTTAATGCCTACAAAAACGACTGGTAAGGGACTACAATGAGTTACTTCCTGGGTCCGTTATGTCAAGAACCCAGAATTTTACATAAACCCCGCCTCCGGGAACACGCAGCAAAGGGGGCGAGGCCATGCTGCGCTGCTTTAGAGAAGAGGACGAGAAAACTAGAGGTGCATGTAAAAATCTATTCATATATGAAATCGCGATTCTGTCTTCTAACGATTCTAATGGATTCACAAGTTTCAAAATCAATGTTCTAAAGCAGCGTTCTCTTCCTGTTCCTGGCCTCGCCCTCTCATTCAGATCATCAGCTCAGTGAATACACTTATTTTCACTTACTATAATTATGAGAAGCGTTATACATGGACACGCGTGTGGTTGCCGAACTGTATTAAAGCTTTAATCAGAATAAAACCGTATATTAAAAGCTAACAGAAGCAGTAGCATTTACAAATAGCAGCATATCTAAAAGTATGAGACAACAACAAACAAAAATCTTATGCCTACCATTAAAAGCCGATAGCGGGTTCTGCGCTATCCTCTTCAATAATATCCTCTGCGTCTCAATCGGGCTCAAATTGATAAGCAATATAGACAACGTCATTGTTTACAATACAACCGGAGCACATGCCGCTATGTTGAGGGGCGGGACGTTTAGACGCACGCTAGAGGCGGTTTAGTCAATCACAAAACACTGGGCCAGCTAATCAATCAGAGCCCATCGTGTATTTCTGAGGGAGGGGCTTAAAAAAGCAGGAAATGATCAGTGCGTTCAGAGGAGAAGGGACAGAGAGGTTTGGAAAAAAGGAAAATTATGTAAAAAAAAAAAAAAAAATTAACAAACGAAGCATTAACACATGTTAGACTGCACTCCATAAACACAATCAAGCCTATAAAAAAAACAGTCAACCACCCCTTTAAACACAGATCAGGTCTCACCTGCGCTATCAACACGTGATGACGGCATAAATTACAGTTATTCCAGCATAAAGCACTCGCATTGATTAAAGAATGACTGGTTTGTCCACGTATTGTTTTTTTTCCTCTCTCATCACTCTTATTGTAATGTATTGGGAAGCCAGAATTTGTATCCATCAACAGAAACATGCATTAGCCGAACTCTAACAAACCATATTACAGATGCATTGTCAGATTTAAGTTGAACCGCGGTCCTAGTGTATGCCGAACCGTGTATGGAGAACGGTACGGTTCGATTTTTTTACAGAGAACCGTTGCACCCCTAATCTATACATTATATGCATATCTATATGTATCTATATATATATTATACTGTCAAATGCCTAATTTCAATTAATCTCATCAAAAAAGTGTGTATATTTATTATGTTTATATATAATTACGCACAGACACGCATGTATATATTTAAGAAAAAATTTATATTTACATATAAAATATTCATATATAAATTATATATATATCACACTTTTTTTTAAATATATACATGTATGTATGTGTGTGTATTTATATATACATAAATATACACAGTACACAAACACATATATTATCTAAACACAAACTTTTATTTTGGATGCGATTAATTGTTTGACAGCTCAAAAATATATTTATAGATAGAAATGCATACACACACATTTCTAGCTATATGCATATATGCAGCATTTCAGCAAGACTATATGCAATGAGATGCGAGATGAGTATGTTCTCTTCCAGTACATTCACAGTGCCATGTATTTAAAAAAAAAACAAGGTGGCCCTGTCCCGCCACGGGCCTCTGTCCAAGCATTCCTGAGTAGCGTGGCATCAGATATCACCCCAAAGGGCAAAACGCAGCAAAGGGTACAAGGGGACTTGCCTCTTTTCAATGAAACGCCATAAAATGTCACTCATGTAAATTAAATTTCATACTAAATACACTATACTGTGTTCAGGCAATATTTTGAAACCAAACACACCAAGCAAAAACTAACACCAAGCCAAAGCATATTCAATGAGATATGCAGAATCTGAATCATGCACCAAGCTCAAGAAAAACTGCATAAGGTCATTAGATACACAAGAGTGAGCCCAAAAACATACCGAGAATCTCGTAGCTCCTCTGGTGGTCCTTAGATTCACGACCTCTCCCCAGAAGTCTTGCATCATTCACAGACCCTGGGGAGGGACTTTGAAACTTCAAGAAAATCAAACAGCACTTAAGACAAGAGCTTCAATGATGCAGGTCCGGAAATATTGATCTTTCAGCTAGCGCATAAAAAGAGTCCGCTACTAAAGCTAAAGATGAAAAACAATCAAAGATCAACCTGAAGCGTTAAATCATTTAACTAAAATCAAAAAGGACTAACAAGCTACAAACAGGATCTGTGGAAGAGATAGTATCCACACACTTCCTTAAAGCAGCAGTCTACTTCTACCAAGATCAGAAGCAAAAGCGTCTATGTCACACTGACTAGGAAGCAGAAGTGAGAGAGAATGCTGCAAGACGCTGCCAGTGCACGCTTCTCATTCTGACGTCGGACGGGTCTCACTCCTGTTTGGAAAGACCTAAACATGAGGAGTTATTTATATCTGAGTGTGAGGGTGTGTTATTGTGAGTGAGCATGTGTTTTTCCACGAGTAGGGGTGAGTGATTGAGCTATACATGGCCTGAGTGCTGGGAAGCTGCCCGCGACAGTGTGCCATTGCCCTGAGGTGTTAAAGGGCATTCAGGGTTTGAAGCATAAAGCAATATCACAGGCTACTACCAAAGCTAAGATAATTATATTATAATCCACGAATGTGTCTACACTGCACAAAGAATCTCTTATTTACAGTGTCTTCGCTTTTTGGATTATTATGGGAGTGTTCTATTTTTGTTGCATTGCTTACACTGTAAACTATAGTGGAAGTTACATCATCAATATTGCAAGCAAATGATGTGATAAGTAGCAAATATGAAATCAGATTTGTTCAGACCAATTTAAATGTCCCTTACCCACCACTGCACTGCACTTACTCACCATTGTACTTACTCATCATTGCATTGTTTTTTAAAAAAACACCTTAAAGGCATGGTTCACCCAAAATCTACAATTCCTGCATAATTTACTCACCCTCATGTTGTTCCAAACCTGAATGGTAATGTTCAACACAAAAGAAGATATTTTGAAGATTGATGGCAATTAAACAGTTGCTGGTAGCCATTGACTTTTTCCCCCGAAGTCAATGGCTATGAGCAACTGTTTGGTTTCCAACATTCTTCAAATGATCTTCTTTTGTGCTCAACAGAAGAAAGAAACTCATAGAGGTTTGGAAAAACTTGAGGGTGAGTCTTAATGACAGAATTTTCATTTTTAGGTGAACTATCCCTTTAAGCTAACTAAATGAATATGGCAAAAATGTTAGAGAGAGTAAAATATAATTTATATTTCTTCACTAACGGTCCCTAATAGTGTTGGGCGATATGCTCATATCGTCAGCCTGTGAGATCGCCGATACATAATATTATAATGCTAATTTAATTATTCACTTACTTAGATTCATAGCCGGAGAGTGAACCATCTCCAGGGTAAGGCTAAAAGCAGCCTAATGTTACTGTAATCTATTAACTACAGATTATATCTTTTTAGTCAAGAAGCATATGGATGTCATGTCATAAAATATTTTAATATCTGAATTTGTATTTAACATGATAACAATTTAATAGAAACATTATAAGTTACTAATTATAATGCTTACATTTAATCAAAATCATTTTCTTAGAGAAGCTCATAAAAACTTAAAACAGACTAATACTACTAATAAGCATTGGCAAACAGACATTCCACTGCTGAACAGTCTCAACCCCTCATCTAGATTAACCAAATATTTTACAATGCAAAACGTGCAACAACAAAACCCACCTCTGAAGAAATGCTTTGACTGTTTTTATATGTGATCAGATATTTTGTCATTTATAAAAATCCCACCCATTTATGAAATATTTTGCAGCCATTTATGAATGCATTACTGAAGTAACATTTACTATTGTAAATCATTTTCTCAGATAATCTCATGAAAATATAAAACAGATAAGCTAATACGAAGCATGGGCAAACAGACTTTGCACTGCTGAACAAACCCTCATCTAATATTAATGAAATATTTACATCACAAAAATGCACAACAACAAAACCCACTTCTGAATAAATGTTGTTGTTTTTTTTTGTCATTTATAAAAATACATATAAAAATCCCACTCCTTCTGTGCTCATTTATTAAATATGTTGGTTAATTATTTTGGTTCTGTGCACATTTATTAAATACTTTGGTTAATTATTATGGTTATATGCTCATGGATTAAATATTTTGCAGCCATTTATGAAAATAAAACTGAAGTAACATACTATTGTAAATCACTTTCTCATAAAAACATAAAACAGATTATGCTAATACTAAGCAGTGGCAAATAGCTAGACTTTGCACTGCTGAACAAATGCTCATCTAATGAAATATTTACAACACAATAATAAAAACCACCTCTGAAGAAATGCTTTGACTGTGATTAGAGATTTTGTCATTTACAAAAATCTATATAAAAATGCCACCCCTTCTGTGATTTAATAAATATTTGTGGTACAGATAAAACTGCAGTATACTCAGCTCCATTTAAATCCATTCAAAATAAAATGTTTCCAAATTCCCTCTATATAGGGACAGACATTGTGCCAACATTACGCCTGATCAATACTGAGTTAATGAATTGCATTTTCAAAGAATCACTTTCAACAGATGTCAACAAGTGGGACTGGAAGGACTTGTTGTGAATTAGTTGTAGCAGAGCAACTGTGTTGACTACTGCACGCAGACAGGTCACAGCGCCTCCTACTACTGTCCCAACTACTCTAAACCTGCTGAGCTTACAGCTGTGCCCTCTGTGGCTTTATCAACAGCATTGTCTGCTATTTTGATTCTGTGCACATTTATTAAATACTTTGGTTAATTATTATGGTTATATGCTCATGGATTAAATATTTTGCAGCCATTTATGAAAATAAAACTGAAGTAACATACTATTGTAAATCACTTTCTCATAAAAACATAAAACAGATTATGCTAATACTAAGCAGTGGCAAATAGCTAGACTTTGCACTGCTGAACAAATGCTCATCTAATGAAATATTTACAACACAATAATAAAAACCACCTCTGAAGAAATGCTTTGACTGTTTTTATATGTGATCAGATATTTTGTCATTTATAAAAATCCCACCCATTTATGAAATATTTTGCAGCCATTTATGAATGCATTACTGAAGTAACATTTACTATTGTAAATCATTTTCTCAGATAATCTCATGAAAATATAAAACAGATAAGCTAATACGAAGCATTGGCAAACAGACTTTGCACTGCTGAACAAACCCTCATCTAATATTAATGAAATATTTACATCACAAAAATGCACAACAACAAAACCCACTTCTGAATAAATGTTGTTGTTTTTTTTTGTCATTTATAAAAATACATATAAAAATCCCACTCCTTCTGTGCTCATTTATTAAATATGTTGGTTAATTATTTTGATTCTGTGCACATTTATTAAATACTTTGGTTAATTATTATGGTTATATGCTCATGGATTAAATATTTTGCAGCCATTTATGAAAATAAAACTGAAGTAACATACTATTGTAAATCACTTTCTCATAAAAACATAAAACAGATTATGCTAATACTAAGCAGTGGCAAATAGCTAGACTTTGCACTGCTGAACAAATGCTCATCTAATGAAATATTTACAACACAATAATAAAAACCACCTCTGAAGAAATGCTTTGACTGTTTTTATATGTGATCAGATATTTTGTCATTTATAAAAATCCCACCCATTTATGAAATATTTTGCAGCCATTTATGAATGCATTACTGAAGTAACATTTACTATTGTAAATCATTTTCTCAGATAATCTCATGAAAATATAAAACAGATAAGCTAATACGAAGCATGGGCAAACAGACTTTGCACTGCTGAACAAACCCTCATCTAATATTAATGAAATATTTACATCACAAAAATGCACAACAACAAAACCCACTTCTGAATAAATGTTGTTGTTTTTTTTTGTCATTTATAAAAATACATATAAAAATCCCACTCCTTCTGTGCTCATTTATTAAATATGTTGGTTAATTATTTTGGTTCTGTGCACATTTATTAAATACTTTGGTTAATTATTATGGTTATATGCTCATGGATTAAATATTTTGCAGCCATTTATGAAAATAAAACTGAAGTAACATACTATTGTAAATCACTTTCTCATAAAAACATAAAACAGATTATGCTAATACTAAGCAGTGGCAAATAGCTAGACTTTGCACTGCTGAACAAATGCTCATCTAATGAAATATTTACAACACAATAATAAAAACCACCTCTGAAGAAATGCTTTGACTGTGATTAGAGATTTTTACAAAAATCTATATAAAAATGCCACCCCTTCTGTGATTTAATAAATATTTGTGGTACAGATAAAACTGCAGTATTCTCAGCTCCATTTAAATCCATTCTGCAGATTCTCCCTCAAAATAAAATGTTTCCAAATTCCCTCTATATAGGGACAGACATTGTGCCAACATTACGCCTGATCAATACTGAGTTAATGAATTGCATTTTCAAAGAATCACTTTCAACAGATGTCAACAAGTGGGACTGGAAGGACTTGTTGTGAATTAGTTGTAGCAGAGCAACTGTGTTGACTACTGCACGCAGACAGGTCACAGCGCCTCCTACTACTGTCCCAACTACTCTAAACCTGCTGAGCTTACAGCTGTGCCCTCTGTGGCTTTATCAATAGCATTGTCTGCTGGGTCCCAGCACCCCCGAGAGCTGCTGATCCTCCAGCCAGAGAACAATGACAAACTTCCGGTCTAATCCGCACACTCAACTAACCATGAAATCTTTCCTCATCGCCAATATCCCGACAGAGTCACGACAGAGAACAGAGGATCATCATTTTCCTGAAGACACCTGAGTGATGGATAGCAGTAAAGTAAGCAACAGGTGAAAATCAAAACAAGGCTCGTTACGTAACAGGAACTGGCCATTTGCAACATTTTCAGATAAATGGAATGCTAACTCTGTTTAGTGACATCTAAACATTATACATATTTATGCAAAAACCCACAACCTTTTCCTCATCTGAATTCCAGTCTCAGACTCAGATTTGCCATTTCATCCAGTATATTGAGTGAGGGGACTGTGACGACTTGTTAATCTAATGAATAATTGATTTGTTAAATCAAATAAAAATTAGTGTGTCAGATTGGTCGAGACGCTACACCGCATAAACACATTTCATTACACCAAATACACAAAATAATGTTCTTTTTAGCAGCATCATATGACCCCTTTAAACAGTATTACATAATACTGACAACATACACTGTTAACATTCTTTGAAGCTGTAAATGAAT